CCGATGGCCAGCCCTGTGCCAGGTCTCTGCTGGGCAGGGAGGCAGCTGAAGCCAAGCGCTGGTTTGACGTAAAGCAGAACGAAACGCTGAAGCCAGCCTACATAATGAAATGTGGGATTCAAATCATAGAGACATTACTTGCTGGAAGCCACAGGTATCTATTTTAATCATAGCTAGAGCAGAGAAAATACTTGCCAAGGCTCTGAAACTTTCAGCCACCCACAGCTGCTGTCCCACCCTCCAGCCACGGGCAGACACAGACCCACTGCCACAGCTCTGCCCGCAGCTCCAGCTCCAGCTGCCCTGCCTGGGAACATCCCCTAATTCCCATTTATCACTGGCACCTTCCATCCCAAGCAGAAGCTTTTCTCCCACTGGCTGTCCAGCACAAAGAAAAGGCACATCTGTCATCTGTTCCCTGGCTTGCTGAGGGCAGACAAATCATTTTTATATCAATTCTGGGGAAAGGCAGAGTTACCTTTGCACACCACTCGCCTTTGATCTGCAGGACACTGAGAGGGGAGGGCAGGTGCCAGCCCCATGATCAGCACAGCCATTCCCAGCACTTCCTTTAACATCCAGTGCCGAGGCAGAACTGACCCACACACAGGAATATCAACAGGTTTTTAAAAATACTATTCCCAAGTATTACAACTGCTTTTAAAAATATTACTCACCATTTCAAATCCAACCGTTTGGGCACTCCTTCTCCCTGCTGCCACCCCTGGATGCTTTTGTAGACAATAATAGCAACTCAGGTCTACAGTGTTTTTATTTGTATTTTTATTGTATCTATTTTGGATTCCATGGCTAATCACTACATTACCATTTTCTGATACATTTATCCTTCCTGAAATCAGTTGCTATAATAAAATCCTATTTTAATAGCTCCAAACTTGTTTATTTCTCTTTACTAAAGAGACCCCTAACAGTATTTTATTAGCTACGAATGTCTAACAAAAAAAAGAGCAAAAAAACAGTTAAAGTGAATCTTTATCTTAAATTATTTGAATTAAGTTTTAAGTCTTAAAAACTCCCAGTATTTCTGAAAGAAAAAATTAACAACTACTTTGGATATAACTGAATCTAGAAGAAACTGGAGCCTTCTCATGGCTGGTTAAAGGGCTAAACAAAAATATCAGCTATACAGCAAGGAAGGTTTGACATTTTGTCAGCCCTACGACCCTGGGCAGTTGGGGAACCTGTAAATAGAGACAAAAATTGTTAAGATGCCTCCAGGCTGGACTGTTACCAGCAATGGCTTGTGAGCTTGCAATTAAAACTTAAATTTTAAGTGCTTAAGATCTCTTAAGAAGTCCAATTGCAAGCATCTAATATCTGACCCTTCAACACACAAACTTAAGGAAAATTACACACTAAATACAAGCCCTAGCACACTTGGATAGGAAAAAAAAGTGTCATAAGCCTACAGCTTTACAAGAGGTATTACCCACAGCCAGTGCTTTTAAAACCAGGTAAACGGCAGATCATATGCAAATAAAAATTGACCAAACATCATTAATTTTCCTTGCAGTGAAAATCCAGGCTAACCTGGTAATTCCTGCTCATGCATTCAGTTCAAAATGGTCACACATATTTGAAACATCTGACAATAATAAACATATTTCTATATTATCAACTCTGTACCACTGAAAACACTGGATGTACAGGTCCCAATTTGTGAAATTAATTTTATTTTTGAAACATGATATCCAATTACAAATAAATAATTCATACAATATAACTCAATTAGGATATACAATGTTCAGGCAGTTCATAGTAACAACCAAGATCACATTGAAAATGAGTTTACATTAAATAACCCATTACAACAATATACAGTTGGTCATTCAATTAATGTTTCAGCCTGGTCCAAGGTGTAGGCAAATTGAAAATCGTTCCTCTTACCAGTAAAGAAACAGATGTACACAATTTTATACCCAGTCCAAAGTAGTTAATACACCATAGTAATAAAAATTACAAATGCTGCATTGCATCACCTAAACGTAGTTTTAGTAGAGAATAAAAAGTTTGTGAATTTTAGCAGGACAAAGGTTATTGCAAAGGAGTTTTATGTCCTATAGCAATTTCTGCATAAACTTCCAAGCTTTACAGGGTGTTCCTAATGTAGGGTTGTGATTCCACACCCTTCTCTCATCCTGCCTGTAAAGCAGTGGGGTGCAGGTACCTGTTATGTCCTTGGCTCCAGTCACACATTGCTTTTCACTCCCTTTTCAGCAGAACCTTTCCCTGCTCAGCTACAGCTCCCCTCCGAGGTGTGCTCCTGCCTCTGTGAGACCTGCAGCAGCAGAAAACTCACACTGCCTTTTGACATGCAACTTTTGAGTTTGTCATCTACCCCAGAAATGCTATGCTCTGTAAAGAGCACCTACATCTAGATTGAATGATAGCCTAAAGTCCTGGAATATTTTTAAAGAATTGTGAAACTTAAAGGATATTCACAGCATCCCTGGAATTTCTTGGTCATCCATTTTAATAATGAAATGCATAAGATTTTCACAAGAGAGTAAGTAATTACAATTTTCAATGATTCAGAGACCTGGTAAGATTTTATTTACAAAAGTTTTGTTAAAAATCCCCCTTCTTTTGGGGGCCCTTTAGGTGAGGTATATGCCCCTTGCTCTTAGTTTGAACTCAGATTGTTTAAAGTTACAGCTCTTTCCATTACAAAATCCCCCCTCCTGACAGAGACCACTCCTCCCAAACACACATTTCTCAGCTCCTGCAGAGCCTTTGGGACAGTGCAGTGCTTTCCAGCAGGTACTTTTGTTCTTGTTACACAAGGCATGGGAAGAAACACACACACCAAAAAAATTAAAAAATAACTATGATGGGGAATTGCCAGCTGGAAAGGGTTGGAACCAATCCCTCCAAAGCTGTCCTTGTGCTCAGCAGTGCAGGAGCACAGGGGGGGCAGGCAGAAGGAGCTGGCAGCCCACAGGAGCAGGGGAGGAGGGAGCCTGAGCATCCCATCACAGCCCCCAGCACAGGTGGCCTCAGTGGGAAGGACTCACAACCCAGCAGCAGTGCAGTCTGTCTTCTGCTGCAAATCAAAAGAAAAAACCCCATACTCATCACAAAGACTTTTAAAAGTCTTTCTATCTCCAGACTATCTTACTGAGACTAAACTTAATGAACTGCTTTGTTTTCATGTTCTGTAGAAGAAATAAATGTCCATATGCATCTGATGCCTAATGAAAGAGGAACTATATATATCACATCCATTTTAAACATAAAAAGCCTGAACTGTACCATCAAATGCACAGTTAGACTGCAACCCCATCTTGTGACTGGATTAGAAAAAAGAAAATGAAACCACCGTTTCCAAACCATTTTAAAAATTTCATTTACACAGTTTCTCAAAAGGGGATTTAAATGCTTAGCAGACCAAAATACTAACTTCAGATTTATTTAACCAAAAGCAGATTTATTTTCTTAAATCTGCTGCACAATGCACCAAGTGATATACATAGTACTTCAGCAATTTATTAATTTTCTCTAAAAATCACAAAAATATTTTAACAATGTACAGTCTATGCTGAGTTCTATTTAAGAACCTGTTGATGGAGCACAGATACCAATTTAAGTGTTAGTGTGTCTAACACATGGTGTGACACTTCCCTACAGCCTTGGCAATTTTTCCACATTTGGATTCTTCAGCACTTATCTCTATTCACCACAAGGTTTTCATTTATGATCTGGATATCTAAAATCAGTAATCTCAAAAATATGGTTCTGATTTCTTTTTGTTGCTTCTATTTCCATTTGATTACTTACACAAAAATTTACCATTTGTTAACAGTTTTTCCTGGACAGCAGCAGAGGAAATCCATAATTAGCACAAACCACCTCATCATTTCATCAGGGAACCTGCTTGATAACCTTCAACTCCTATGAATCTGCTTTCTATAATCAATGGAGAGCATTAATTAAAAAAAAAATCAATGGAGAGCATTAATTAAAAAAAAAAGTATTTCAGAGATTTATAAAATAAAAATCTGCACATCAAATAGCTCCCAAAACCTCATGCCACAAACAGCAGGAACTCCCTCTCCCAAATTAAGCTTCTGGCCCTCAGCATTGCTGTGTGCTCCCATAGCAGGGCACTCAGTGAGCATCAGGACCTTGAGTTTTAGTGCTACAAGTAAATGATGCACATGTTTTTCAAACAATATCCATGAATCTCTGCTGAAACAGAAATTGAGATTCCTTCCCAAAGTAAGAACTAGGTGTAACAAACCAAGCAATATAAATAACTCTGGCTGACAAATGCTTCAAATATCTGTTTTTAAAGCAAAAAGTACTACACAAAAGAACAGAGAATCAAAGGGAGATTTTTAATGGCACAAAGGGCAGCTAGGCACTGTGTGAGCTGAGAACATAACTGTCATTATGACTTTAAAAATCCCCCCCAGGAAGATTTGGGTTGCAGCTAGGGCAGAGCGAGGGTCTTGCCAAACAACAAAAGAGCAAACCCACTGTAATGTCCAAACCTAATGAGAAAAGACAAAAGTTGCTACAGTCCCTCTGCTAAAAGAACACAGTCAAGCTTGTAAAGTTAGGTGAAATTAATGATGAGAGCTCATATTAGCACAACACAATTCAGCTCTGGATGAAATGGTCACGAGCTATTTAAAAAAGGAGTTTCTGTATCTGAGAGATTATTCTTAGGTTTAACTTCTGCTGTGTTAATAGCATCTTCTGTATTAAAGGAGCTTTAACTAACACCTGCAAGAGTACCTGCCCTGAGGCAGAGCTGTGCCACGACCATCCTTCCATTTTCAGATCAAAATAAAAGTAACCATTAGGCACATATTGAAGGTGTATTACACAAGCTGGAATGTCAAACATTTTCTCCCTCAGATTTACACAGAAAAATAGCACAGCAGCAAATAACCTGGTCCTCTGTTCAACAATTACCTTGTAACAAGCATTTTCAATGTAGATAATGTCACAACATCAATACCTTCTTATCTTTAAATAATTAGGTAAAAAAAGGCCCCCAGTATAACCATTTCTTATATAGCCAAGTCTCTCTATATACATCCAAATTTTAAAGATACAAATAAAACATTATACAGGATTTATAAATGTTTAAAAATTTGAGGCTTCAGAATCATGGTTTCCCAAAAAGACCCGGGAAAATCCACAGACTGACAAGGTAGCAGAGAAAACTGGAAAAAAGGAGACAGACACAAGTTTGCTGCCATAACATTTTACTAAACTTGCCAGTCATCATGGTGATGTCGTTAGAAAGAACAGTTTAAGCTGGAAATGAGGAATGGTGGTTTTGTGTGTTGATCTCAAGTGATGAGTTGAGACAGGCAATTCAAGTATTTCCTATTTGATCCAAGCTCATTGTAGCAAAGTGGTGGAGAGGAGGATTATTTTACATTTTTTCCGTACATTCGATCAATGTCCGTTTGATAGAACGCCGTCAGCTCTTTGCGTTTGAGTTTGAACGCGTCTGTCACCAGACCAGTCTCTGGGGTCCAAGGATCAGGGCTCAAACGGATCTTTACTGGTATTTCAAACTTCTCCAGATTTGCTGTAAAAAAGAAATATTTTTAACACAGAAATGTATTAAAAATGAACCTGAATGGAACCATTTTCTTCAAGTTAAGCACAAAAGTAGAAATCATATTCTCACACGTGGAAAAGCACGTGACCCAAATTGAAGAAGTGCTCCTCCAAGCCACCATGGTTGGTTTGACAACCTGTGGGGTCACAAGCAGAGTGACAGGATCCTCTAGTACCTGCTGTCTGTTTCCACAGAAATACTGGAATAAAGCCCAGCTGTTCAGGTGTCTGTGCAGCTCCCTAACTTCAAAAAAAGCCTCAGTGCATGGAAATGATATCCTCAGAACAGACTCTGCTCTACCAGCAACATGGTACTCATCATCTGGAGAGAAAAATCTTAAAATCCATACTACTTAGGTTAGAAAAAATGGGGGAGTTTGTTTTTTCCTGATAGTTCTAAATTGGTCAAGGGAATTAAGTTTATATGGGAGCCCTTCACTGTACCGAAAGAGAGCAGTGCTCTCCATGTTACACCTTCAGCACAAAACACTATCATTTACAACAATTTCTGCTGTGGTTTCAGATATGAGAAAAGAAAAATAGCTAAGAAAAGTAGCCAACAGATAGCAATAATAAAAAAACCCCTCTCTTTTCAAGTTCAATTTCAAAAATATACACAAATGTATACTTATGTGCAACCTGCTGTTTTTAGATTTTCCTGTCCCTTTTTCTCCCTTTAGCATTAGATTACTGGGATTGGGTTTTTGGGGTTTTTTTTGCAATTTACCACTAAAACCCATAGTATTTAAAAGTAAAGCCTGTGATACCAAAGTGAAAACCAAAACCAATCATAAAATAACATCAAAATCATTGAATCAAACACTACTTTTCATCCATTTTTAAAAAGTATTTCATTCTCCTTAGAGTAGTGTTGCACAAAAAATGAAAGGAACTTTGTACATGCTCTCTCCAGCACAGCAGCTGCTGAGAATGATTTTGCCCATGTGCTCCAGACAGTGAAGAAAACCAGACAAGAGAGGTGGGGCAAGGAAAGAGCAGCTGCAGTGTTGAGACTGCACTCATGGCAGGAGGGTGCTCCTGGGACAGGAGCTGGCAAATATCAGTTTAATATATTCACAAGCAATATGGAGAAGAGATGAATATTAACAAGCAAGAGATTGCTGGAAGCATGTAGTTATCCAGGGTAGAAAGGATGAGGACAAAGGACAAAGAGGGACAGGAGGATGTCACGGTGATACCGAAAAACTGCAAAACATCCATTGCAGGGAAGTATCAAGAAATGAGGATGGGAAATTTTACACTCCTGATGATCATTTCAAAAAATCATTATGTGGCCATAACTGATAGCCTTATGAAAACGGCTCAGTGCTCAGAAATAGCCAAAAGCAAAAGTAAAGCAGAAATTATCACAAAGAACAAACAAAATATCCCTGTGCCACTGCTTCATTCTGCACCAGAACAGCCTGACAGATGCTTATGTTTCACAGACATTGCAGTCACAGGATTGATAACATCGACCCAGCCACTCACCTGCCATGGCAGCCTCAGCTAGCACCTTCAGAACCTCTTTTTCCATCTCAGGACTGTTACAGATCTCTTCCCAGGTTCCTTTAAATCCTTTTTTTCGGGCTAGTTCTGCGAGCTCCTTTTGATTTGGCACAACAAATCCAATGACATAAGAATGGAAACTGAGAAGCACAATGTACTTTAGTATGAATTTCACAAAGTAAACAACTCTTCAAAAATAATATTTCAAGTTGGGGGAGTTTATAATACAGAGATACTGCTCTTAACAGCTGGCTTTTGTTCACCTGATAACCTTCCTGAAATAGCACACAAGTTACCTCTGTCTGCTTAAAAATAAGTAGAAAGAGAAGCTACTTACCTTACAGTAACTGGATTGCTTCAAGGTGTGCTGTCCATATGCATATTCCACTGTGTCTCATGCCCAAAGCTTTGGGAAGCAGTACCCATACGATGTCACTGTGCCCTGCCTCTCCTCATGTTTTGCAGCCCGGAATGCAGATGGGTGTGTGGCTTCCCTACCTCAGTTTCCTCTCAACTGCAGAATCCAGTTACTGTAGAGGAGTAGAGGACTGCAGTGAAGAGGGGTTGGAGAGCAGGTTGTGGAATGAGCATATGCACAACACATCTCAAAGGATGCCTGCTTCTGTAAGGGAAGTGACTTCTCTTTCTCTTTCAAGTGATTGTCCATACACTCACTCTGCTGCTGGCACTCTTTGCTCCTAACATGCCCAGAAGATAGGAAGCTGTGATCTCAAAGTCTTTGGACTCTAAAGCACAATTCACTCTGAAACAGGTATTCAAAGTTTTCAGATGGTGTAAAGTTTAAGTAAAATGTGCACAGCACCTCACACATGCCAACAAAGCAGATCAGAGCCAGAGTTGAAAGTGATCTCAGAAGAGCTCCTAATCAATTCACCTGCCCTGAAGCAGGGTCAGATACATCTAACAGATGTTTGTCTACATCTTTCTTAAACATCAGCAAGCACTAGTGCCAACGCTTCGTCACTCATAGCATGGATAAGCTGCTGCTGCAACTCCCGATTCTTCGTCTTTGCAGTTTCCCTCAAAATAGTCAGATGTCCCTTTCTTTTCCACAGAAGCTGTTTATTCATTCACATTTTCCTTGCCACCTTTTTAGCCTTGCTTCCTTTCTCAGGTTTATTTAGACATATCAGTAATTACTCCTAATTCCTGCCATCACAGGTGTCTGCCCAGACATTGCCATGTTTTTCCTGATCTCTTTCTATGAGGTCCATCTCTTCAGATGTGTGGAACTCAGACCCTTTAAAACTTGTTAGAATGATTTCAGAGTAGCCTCACTATCACTACTGCTTGCATCTCACCTTCTGCCTTTGCCTCTGTCCCATTTTTCTCCATGCACGCTCATGCTGTGCTCTGCACTGAACCCTTGTAACTTTGCTCCCTACTGTGTAGGTACTGTGTGTGAAGGCACCTGGGACACAAAGGACTCTGGCACTTTCATCCCTGGTTCCTGTAGTCTTTTGACATGCTCAAGGTCATGTCCAGCAGCATCACCAGTGTCTCCAGGGAGAAAGAGCATATAGGAGTAATCAGTTGGCTGGGTAAGCATCAAACTATCTGTTCATCTAAAATTCAGCCCCTGCAGTGGAAGTACACTTCTTCTGGACAAACAGGTTCATCCAGCTATTTTTTTCTTGGAAAGAACACCTTGCAGCTCACAGTTCCTGGTACATGTAGCTTTTCATTATGGGTCACAAAGTTAAATCTTCACTTGTTCAGATGTGAAAGCAGTTTTGTCCTGAGAGGTTTCCTGAAGGTACATCTTCCCTCTTGAGCAGCTGCTTCCCTCTCGCTGCTCCTTATGCCAATTTTTTGTATTTGGTAGCTTTGTCTTGGAAATGATTTTCAGTGGAAATTTTCAGGCTTTGGTCCTCCAGACCTCCCTGAGCCATCTCTTCCATGAAGTCAATTTTGCCAAAATGTCTGTCCTACACCAGACAACCTCATTTCCTTGCTAACTCAAGTCCTTGGTAACTTTAGTTGCTTTAGTCACAAGCCAGCTACTGGGGCACTGGTGTTTTTTCCTCTACCTTCCTCCTCTGAAGTACCACAGTACTTCCTCTGAAGGACAAATCACAACTAAACACAGCAAGGAACAAGGTGCTCTAGGGCTTCTAAAGGTAACAGTCTCCAAAGTGCTTGAGTGATGCCTGTAATTAATGCAATAGAGCTCAGCTGCTTTTCAGATTGGGGAAGGGAGAATGTAAGACTCATCACTGGTATTTTCCAATAAATGATGACAACAAATGAGAAAGGAAAAATAAAAATGGGCTTCAGCTCTTTTAGTTTTGATCGAGAATTATTCCATTGTATTGTAAGTAAAATCTTTTTTTTAACTGATTAAAAAAATTCCACACATTGAATGGCAAAAAATTTTGCTTATGGCTTCAAGAGGACAGAGAACTGAGCAGTATCAAAAGCTTCAGCTGCTCTTACCTGCTTGCATATGCACAAATATTATCCACCAGTGGGAGATTCTTCAGAGCTGCTTCTACTTTGCCAAGAGAAACATATTCTCCTGCCTGCAGTTTTACAAGATCCTTTTTGCGATCTAGCATGGAAGAGAGGAATTAAGTGTTAATAACAGAACAAAAAACTTCTAACATCTGGTGGCATTATTTATTTCAGGCTAAATCCATATTTAAAGAGCAACTGTTCACCTTTTACTTGAAAAACGACAGGAACCAAAAATTATGCCCAAATTACTTGAAATTATTATATTGTATAATTATAAAATTATACAATATAAGGCAGCTTATCTACTCAATTAGCTAATACTTAACTCTCTAATTACTACCCAGTCTCAGTAACTTAGGGAGTCAATGCTAAGATTGCTTCAAAATGAACCAAAAATCAGCTTCTAAAACACACAAACAAGTTTACATTAACATACCAGAACTTCCCTGGGATACATGGGAAGGCTTTAGATTGCATGACAAAATATGGATGTTGTTCTCATAACTCTATTTCACAGCCCTGAAAATGCGTGTCTGTTTGAATATCCATACATGTACATGTTTACCTGAATTTATTAACTCACCAATAATTTTTAGACATCCATCATGATGAAACTCTCCAATGTCTCCAGTGTGGAGCCACCTCTGCCCATTCTCATCAACAGTGAAATCTTTCCTGGTTCGTGCTTCATTTTTGTAGTAGCCCACAGTCACATTCTGCCCTCCAATAAGGATCTCACCTCTAGGATATGGTTTGTCAGTGTTGTAATATCCACCTAAAAGGATGAGGAGCTTTATTAAGTTTATGAGAATGAAAACATGTTCCAAAGCAAAAATTTGTGCCATCCTTCTGGCAGTAGTAAGTATTGTGCTTTATCAGTTTCACACAGGCTCACATAAAACCAAATAATTTTGCCTCACAGTTTAGAAAAGAAAAATCCCTAAGATTCTGCATTAGTCCAAAACACACTTAAGTATTATATATTTCTACTCTACAGTACATAAAAGCCTACAGTGAAAGGAAATACCCAAATGCACTTCAAAATTTATTATATGTTTTTTTTAAAGAATCCATTAAGCTTCTATTCTACATGCCAATTTTTAAGGAATTTAAGAATAACATTATGAAGATTATTTTAAAACAATTTCTTAACAGCAACTGAAGGCATCATGCATACTACCTAGTCAAAATGCCACTTTATTTATAGCTTCTTTATTTATTTTAGTACTTTATTTATTAATAGCTTCTGTCTGGATATTTCCCTGTTTTGAAACCCCTGAGAAATTTATTTTACCTTTATTCTCCCCAAGAACAAACTTTCATAGGCAAAAGCAGCATTTAAAATACAAACAGCCAATAAATAGTCTTCTAATTACTGCTACTGAGCAAAGCCCAATAGAAAAACACATTTCTTACAAAAGCATTGCAATTTAATCATAGGCAGGAAATCTCACCTTCTTCCCAGTTCATTAACTTGATTTCACAACAGACCAAAGGTGCTCCCACTCTTCCTGTAGTGTAGTCCCAAACTAGAATTTAAACAAGTGCATTTTCAGAAAAACAAAAACCAAAGCTGGTTAGAAAAAAACCCCATTTTGTTGTGATGTATCCTCTCAGTGAAACTTAACTGCTATTTATTTCTCAACTTTAATTCACAGAACCCAACTTCCATAGAAAACCCAACAGATTTATCAAGAGAACACAGATAAAATTTTTATTGCGCCAAGAGAGTAAATGGCTGTATTAACAGATACCCTCAGTTTCTAAAAGGCAACTGAAACCATTAGGTTCTGTCATATGAAACTAAAATCTGGTGCAGGAAGGTTTTAATTCCTGACATCTCAATTTCCTCCACAATATTTGAAAAAAATGATTCCGTTCACGTGGTAAGTGCAGCAACGCCAAGACCCCACTCACGCTAGAATGCGCTGCCCTACCACAAATGAGAACGTTCATTTTCCACCGAGGTCACCTGCTCCAGCACATCCAAATCAGCCCTGCCCCTGTTTGATGGTGTTTGGGAGCAGCTGACTCCAGGACTCCCCAAAGAGGTTTGGCAGCAGCACCAAGGGACGGAGCTGAGCCCCGCCGGGCCCGGTGCCGGTGCCGAGGGGACGCACCCACCTTCGGTGATGGTGCCGGCCCCGGCGGACTCGGTGAGGCCGTAGCCCTGCCCCACGGGGCAGCAGAAGCAGATGTTCATGAAGCGCTGCGTGGCTGCCGAGAGCGGCGCGCCGCCGCACAGCAGGATGCGGATCTTCCCGCCCAGCAGCATCCGCACCTTGCGGAAGATAAGGCTGAAACGCAAAGGGAAAAGGACGCTTTGGAGCTTAAAAACAAAGCGAGACAGCACCCAGTTTGGGATCTGAACTGAAAGGTTACACTGTCTGCAAATACACTTCTATGACAGCCAAGGAAAACCTCGGAGGAGAACACTGAAGTTTTCAGAAATACAGGCACAGATTTCCAAGATAATTTCTATGTTTTAGTTGGAAGGAAGATGGGCTAAATGTTTGAAAGCACACATTTAAGTAGGCAATAAAGTTGCATGATTTTCTCCCAAAAATACGCTAAGCTGTATAAATTTTGCAAACACATTATCCTTTACTCTCATGGAAGCCCAGAATTAGATTCAATAATCCTGTGGGTTCTATCCAATTTGAGGTATACCACTGCTCCCTTCTGTGAAAATGTCTGCAATTTTCTGTAGGAATAAATTTCTCATCTCACCCAAAAATTGCATAAATCTGTTATTAAATTCCTGATGAAAATGCAAGAAATGTAAATTTTCAATCAGTTTCAAGTTAAACAACACTCACATTCTATCAGTATTTAAATCCCTCACACAAACTGCTTATTTGTTGTTTCAATTTACACTCCAGTACAGATCTGTTCCTGTTCAAAGTGTCAACAATAAAAAGAAGAAAAGCGCAGAAAGAAGAAAAGCAGATATTGCTCCTGTGCTAAGACTTTGATTTTTTGGTGCCATTTAAAATGAAGCTAACCTTACCTGTCGCAGAGTGGGGTAGTGTAACCTTTGGAAATCTGTTCCATTTTGTAGTTGTAGGCCAATATAAATAGATTCCTCTGGAAACTGGTCATTTCATTCACTTTATTCATGACATTTTTGTAGATTCGATCCATAATTTCCTAGTTACGTAAAAAGATGAACTTTAACTCAAAGAAACAGAAATCCTGAATTCAGTACAGCAAAAAGAAAACACAATCTAGAAATTCAAGTCAGCTTCAGGTGACAACCCACTCCCAGGTTCCCTCCTCCTCCCTTGCTAAGAGACAGCAGGATGTTCATGGAAATGAGGAAAGCAAAATGTGGGCAGGAGCAGCACTTAACCCCCAGCTGCCTGCTGCTAACTCTCTTTATTCCACTCTTTTAATGTAACAAACAAGAAGTGTCTAATTCAAATGGGAATCAAACCTTTATTGCTATCTTGTTTGATACCCATATCATGATTGTTTATCCCCAACATACAAATAAGTACCAAATTTATTATTTTAAGGCAGCTTAACATCAAAGATTCTACCTTTTCTATTTAAATTTTTTATTTAAATGGTATTAATTTTGTTGCTAAAAATTGAATTATAAATTATATTTTAAAAAAGGTTTTAAAAATTATTCATCCTTCAGTTACTTACCGGAACAGCTGCCATTAGAGTTGGCTTAAGTGTAGTAACATCCCCTTTGCTTCCTTTCTTTATTTTAGAAGACTAAAGTGAAGAACAAGTTTACTTAGCAGACACATTCAAGATCTTTAACATCAGAAACAAAATTTTTACTATTTTTAAAGAAATACTACAAAAGATCTGATGCAAGTAAATTTTTTAAAAAATTTTCTTTTACTTTTTTCCTGGTAAGGACTTGCATCAACAACATACCTGGTCAGCCAAGGTCTGAGGGGAAGAGTAACCGATGCAGCACCCATGAGACAGACACACAAGCTCGGCACTCAGCTCCAGAACATGGGCAAGGGGCAGGTACCCAATATAAATGTCTTTTTCCCTGCCAAGAATTTTTAAAAGACAGGTTTATGTTGTATCACTAGAGTCTTCAGATGCATCATTAAGCACAATTTATGCAAAGTTTAATGCAGAAATGGAGAAAGTAGAAAATGCCTTTGAGCTTGAGAGGATATTTCTAATCACGTGGGTTTTGTTTCTATAGCTGCATACTACATACTGTAGGTTTAAGGCATGAAAAAAGGGTGATGGTTACTCTCAGTGGATGAGATGAAAAACTGCACCAAACAAAGAAGCCACAGAATTTAAACATTAACCAAGGGAAGCACTGCTTAGGGAGGCTTTCAACACTCTAGGACAAGGTGGCCTCACAGGTTTTTGTGTCCTGGTCTCGCCCACACACCAAAGAGGAGAGAACAGAGTACAAGAAGCAGTCATGTAATTTAGTGCAGTGCTGGAAGATGCTCAGATGTCAGTGCATAGTGTGATGTGTCACAACCTTAGCAATATAAAAGAGTTCATATTTTACACAGTAGTTAATCTAAAATTAAATGCAACTAGATGACTTCTTTATCTGCTGGTAAGTAACGGTCGGTACGCACCCCAGATTTGGGATCCTCTCAGCCATTCCAGTTATGCCAGCAATTATGTTGCAATGGGAGATCATAACTCCTTTGGGAATTCCTGTGGATCCACTTGTGTACATGATCACTGCGATATCCGAGGGCACAGGCCTGGATGGCTGCTTGTTTCCTGCAAGTTGTTAAACAAATAGGGTGTGTGGTGGGCTGGGAGATCTGACACATCTCAGCAGTCACTGCACTACAGCACCACAGGACTCTTGCTATTACATTCTGCTTTTGCTTAAAAAGATTGTGGTCAAGCTTAAGTGCCTTCAAAAAGAGTAGGAACTTTGCATTAGCTGAGCAATACTTTAACTGATTGTCCTTATCTACCATAACAACAGTTTTCCTATTATTTTTCCCCTACTCCTGCAGTGGAGAAAAAAACAGGCAGAGCTTTGGCTTGCCCAAAGCCCCAGTGAGCATCCCTGCCCCGGGGCAGGTTCACTGCCCTGGTGCCACGCTGCCACAGGGTCCATCCTTCTGTGCCAAGGAAGCCTCACGTGCTCCCTGGCAGGGAACAACACACTGCCTTATTGCAACACCTGCAGCAAAGCACTGCTGAGCCAACCTGAGGTCCAATCTCCATAAATATTTAAAAGAAGTTCAACAGCTTTAATTGGATTAAAGTGCTTTTTAAATACTTGTGCTGAGAGCAAGAAAATACAAAACTACTGTGCTTACTCAGAGGAAACTGCATCTCACACAGTGCATGTGGCACAGTGCACACACTGAATGAGATGCATGAAAAGAAACATTTAATCATTTTCCACTCACTGAATCCTGCCTATCCTGCACAATGAACAACACAGAGGGAAAAAACCCATAAGCAATAGCTCATCTACTTAATATTAATTGGACATGCTCGACCATAAACAATTCATGATAGCATTTCACAGTTTATGAATGGTTAACTTGACAAAGATAATGTTCCTTTATTGTTGTGCAGAGTATGTGAAATTTAAAAGACTGAAGAAAGATTAAATACCTTATTACATAGCACATAGATTAACAAATGTCAAGGAGTTAATGAATTACAGCCAAAATTTTTCTGCTGGTGTTGTATTAAACTGTTTTAGAAGTACATAAAACTGGTATATCAAATAGAGAAAAGCATCTTTTAAAGAAATTGAGAAGTCGTGATGTTTGGAGCAAATCTGCCATTCCCCTGAACACCAAAATCAGATGGATTGCCCACCCCCCACACTCCTAAAATACAATCCAATGTTCCTGTGCCTGCAGCAGTTAAGAGATTCTGAAAACAAAAAGGATAAGAACAAAAGAAAGCAACTACTGAATATATAGAAATCTTAAAATACTAGGATGGGCAGCTCTTCAGAGCCAAGAATAAAAATTTTTTAAGATTACAATTAAAATAAGTTCTAAAATTCTTAATTATAGTTCTAAAAATGTTACATAGACCAGAAATAGATTTCAATTAATTTACACAGATTGATGCTTTCAGAAATGTAGTAAGTGACCAAGTTCTATCAGATTCAAATGACTATTTTACATTTTGCTATCTGTGAATTTTACAGAACTTAATGTACAAATGACTGATTTCTTCTATTTTAAAACACACGATGACTTTCCTTCTGTGTCCCGAATAATCTGGTCTTAATAGCTCAGATCATAAGAATGCTTTCTAAGTTTCTATCCTGAATTAATTGCTTATCCTAAAAACTATCCTTCAACCTGTGACACTTGATTGTGGAGTGTTTTCACTCTGTTGAAAAACAGAACAAACTTACACCCCAAAATCCAACCACTCACAACAAAAACAAAACAAAAATCACGCAGACTTTATTTAAAGGAAAAAGAGATAAGAAAAGGTTAATTCTGCAGTTTTTCTTCAAGCTTACTCAAGGGGGTCAAATTAGGGCACCAAAAGAGATGATCCGAACAGGAAGAACCTACCAGTGTCTGCCTTGGCCCCCATGGCTTGCACAGATGCCATCGTGTGAACAATGACACCCTTGGGGAACTCTGACCACGTTGTGGGTTTGCCATCCACTGTGATTATGTGTCGCAGTAGTGGAACTTGAGAAACAATTTCCTGTGGAAATGAAAAATGGGTTCAGAAATTAAAACTTAGTTTTATGCCAAGAAGTAAAAAGAAAAAAAAAAAAGAACAACAAAAAACACAAGAACAAAAACCTCCAAGCTATCTGCTGTGTACTTTTTTAAAAGCACTAATATAAAACATCTCAGAATTTTAAAAGGATAAACCTGCCAAGCTCAAACAGATGCAAAGCTTGAAGCTTTCCAATTTTAAGTCAAAAATCTTTTCCAACCATTTACTGATTTGTATTTTATTTCATGAAAATCCCACAAATAAGACTGCAATGATTTGCAGACATAACTGACTTTCCCTTCCCATAGAACATGGGGAGAAACTGGTGATACTGAGCTCTTAACAATTCTTAGGTTACTCCTTGGTTATTATGCTATTTAAAACAAGCAACAGCTAGCAAAAATAGTGAAAATTACTAGCTAAGCATTTCAAGCAAAACATGAGTTATAAGACATTTATTAGTGTTCTCATGGAAAAAGAGATCATCACCTATAGCAGAGCAAATACATTCTCTTCCTGCAAGCTGAAATAAATGCACATGGCATAGATACTGTCATTGTAGTAACTTCTTTTTAAAGTTTGGGAAATTCTCATTCAAAATTCCACAACAGCACAGTTTTTCATTAAAACAATTGCCTAATCTGAAAGGTGCAGTTTCCCCAAAACACAAAATGATGAAACTCATGCAGATTAGTTGTTCCACTTGGGTATTCCATCAGGGTCAGTAAGTCAAAGAAGTTCTTGGACTGTTCTAATGTTTAGTGAGCTTTTTCTCCCCCTGCATGGAAAACCAGCTCTAACTCTTTAAACACTCATCTTTAGATATAAAAACCTGCTGGAAAAACATCTGACAATAAGCCAGGAGCATGATCACAGTTAACTCTTAACACATTTTTCTGTTCTTCCCATTGTTACATTTATAGGCACTAAATCCACCCAGAAACCACAGCAGTTTCTTGTAAAGGTGTTTTTCCAGGCAGCACTCCAGCTCTGCAATACTGCAAATTGCTTGTTCTCCAGTCACTGAGCAGCCTAAAACCCACTGAAAGCAAACTACCACTTTCTGTACATGAAGACAGATATACAAATCTTCCAAAAGCGTCTGCCTTGTGGAAAGGCAATAAATCCTTGTTCTGTACAATGGAACCAGGCCATTTAACAATGGTGAACAGACACACTGCAAAGAGATAGACAAAGAACAGTTTTCTGACCTTCAATTTTGTTTGCATCAATTCTTTACTAGTGATGATGGTGGTCACCTCTGTTTCATTCAGCCCATGGACTATTGCTGGGCCTCCCAGCGTGGCATACAGAGTAACAACTGAAACACAAAGCAGGGGAAATGGTCAGTCTCTGGGTTACATTTTCAAATATAGTTTACAAAAAAACTGAGATGAATCTATTCCAACTTAGGCAGTGCAATAAAAATATTTGTCAACTCAAAGATGGTACAGTTTTTTTATTTAAAAAGCCTCTTAACATGTGACTTGAAATACAGTGTAATTTTCAGTTACTCGCAGAAGGAATAATGAACAACCATTCTCTATGTGACTGTTTACTCTCTTCCAAGGTCTAATTAGAGGCCCCAAAACCACATCACCTCATGCAATTCTCCTGGATCTACTCTCATACTTTCATTGCTTCTACCATCTGAAAAGCAGGCAAAGCTTCTCAGTTTAATCACTGTGTAACATTCCTCTTACATATAGGAAAGAAACAGCTTTCATTCATGTGACTTCTCTTTTCACAATTCACATACTCTGCTACAAACCTTTTACAATTGACTGCTAATAACAAATTACAGCATGGCAATACCTGTCATCAGCAGAGAATTCTCACTCAGGAATAAATCTGTAGCTATTCTGTTCTGCATCTATTTTAAAAAATGTGATAAAGGTGTAATCATCACAGTCATTGGACCCCCAAACTGACATCAGGAGAATAATATGGAACAGCATGAAAGAAAATATTTGTAAAGTTGACTATAAGAAAAATTGTTCCCTGTTTGTAAGGTCAGCTGATTAGTGTGTTAAACAATGATTTCATATTAATACCTTTAAAATAATATTTTATTTCCTATCATTTTCAATGGAACTGAATGAAAAAAGACCAGAGGAGCCTAGGGAAGAAAAAGGCAGCTAAAAATTGAAAAGAAGTATTGCTAAAAATAAAATTTCCAAGCAGAACACTAAACAGGGACATCTCAAAAAAATCTCTGAGATCAATCAACACAATAATTACAACATCCTTGCTGGGAGTTTTGTCACATCAGGTATCTGAATATCATCTGCTTTTTAGTCTGTAAATAGATGAATATTTAAAGAGCGTAATTATGAAAATAAGATACCCCATTGTACATTAGGACTGTAATCACTGCAGCAAAGACTAAAAATTAAAATTAAATAAAGTCCCATCATATTCTAAGATTTTTATTTTCATACTTTAAATCCAAGGAGTTACGAACCCAGAACAACTCAAAAGCAGTTTTCTTACACAGAAAAGTAAATAGTTGACCTCTACTTATTTTTTTTCTTGTTAAAACAGTCCATCATAGTTCAGAACTGTTGCAGGGCAAATGCACATGCACTGTGTTTTCTTTAATTTGGTGGGAGCAAAGTCCAGAAGAGTGCCTCTCCTCGTTCCCACGAGCTCTCTCCACTTACTGCAGTGACCCCTGTTATATAAACATGTAGCAGAAATTCAGCTGCCCTGAGCCAACAAGCAGAACCAAGCCGACAACACTGCCCAGAAGGCAGAGCATCATCTCGGGAATAACATGGAGCTACTTAATTACTCATCCACAAATAAGTACATTAGGACACTCAGAGCTATATGACGGAGCCCAAGAGAAAGAGACCATTTGTATGATGGTGCACTGATGTCATGGAGAGAGCAAAACTGACAATGACTCATCTCTGAAATTCTCCCTTCTCCACACTGGCACCTAAAACTTTTTCAGGCAAATCTGAAAGTTTTGATAATTTTTTTCTCTCCTCGTTCTCCTGAAAACATACTGACAAGGGATGATTTTGTATCCACCTTTATACATGCAATAGTATAAGTGAGCCTTTGTTAACTGACCAAAGGCCTGGCAAAAAGAAAATCCCCAACACCACTAAATTTGTCCCGATATAAAAAGATAAAACCTTGCCCTAAAGAAATAAATAGAACTTTTATTTCAAGAACAATTTATTTCAAGGTAACTGGAATGTTAAACTGAGTATTTCAGCATCCATTGTACATCAAGAATAAAAAGAAAAATGCACCTTTAGAGGCTTCAGCCAAATTTAATTCTGACAAAACCACTTCTGCTCAAGCATGATTGAAAAATGAAACCTAACCTCTCCTATTCCACCATTTGGCTATGCACTCTTGTCTTTTATCTTCCTGCCCTGGTGAAAAGCTGTTCACACACATGAAAAGGTACTTAGGAATAAAATCTGCTTTCACATTAGTACTATTTCTGTTTCTGAACTAGCAATCCCGCTCTACCTCCTGCAAATACAAAACTGAGAACTTCAGAAAAAGTCATATTTAAAATCAAGCAATATTTCCAACCATAAAATCATTTGTTTGTGCAAGTAATCCATAAAAAACTTCACTTTCCTTATTTTTATCTATATATAAATACATAATAATATAAATATATTTATATATTTATTTTTCATATATAAATTTATATGCAGTTTAGTACTGCAAAAAGGCATTCTCTCCAACACTGAGATGAACCTGCTCTGTTGACATGAGTTCTGGGCCCAGAATGTCTGAATGCATCAGACTGAACACATTTCACATTTGGAAAGAATGTCCCAACACTCCCACAGCAGTTAGCTGGTATTAAACCTGCACACTGAAAAATGCTAACATAAGCCATTTAGCGATGTCTTGCCACTACTACTGCTTCAACACCATCTGAATCTTCCAATTTCTCCTGCAAGCTGCCTGTGAACACTGCACAGCTCTCTCTTCATCTGCCAGCACAAGTCAGCCAAGTTCACAGAAGATGACACAGCTTAGATGCTGAACACCACGTCAGAGTGTGAGCTGAGGCACGTTGCAGTAAGGGGATTTAAAGCACTAATCCAACAAACCCAAAAACATGCACATCATCCTGCTCACAACATCCAGCCCCTAGCTCAGATTTTTCCCCCCTCAAATTGCAGATCTCCCTAGGATTTGTAAATGTGCTTCAGTTCCAAAGGAAAAAAAAAATATTATACAAGCTTTTACATTTTATTCCCAGGATAGCCACTAGGAATCTGACAGATCCCAAAAGTGATAAAAGGGAACTGGCACAGAGACATGTGGTTTAAAAGCAGCATAGGCATCTAATCTGAGAATAGTCTGTGCAGTTCTCTGCTCTGGCAGGCAGGCCAGCCACATTTACTCATTGAAGAACCAACCAAAAGCATCACCAGTTTGGGTGGGAAGACACCTGGAAAGATCACAGCACACACCATCCACTGCAGCAGAGTGCTCAGAGCCGTGGCCAGTCTGGGTTTTACAGGTCTCCAAGGATGAAGATTTCACAACCATTCTTTGCTCCTGTTCTGATATCAAATCACCCTCATAATGAAGATGTTTGTCCTAATATGCAAACAAATTTTCCTGCCATTGAGCTTGTGACTGTGGCCTGCAGAGGTCAAAGCACACCTTTGTAAGCAGAGCCTAGCTCCATCTCCTCTGTATACTGCCCTGGGTAGTGTCAGACAGCAGCAAGATCTGAAGTCATCTTAATGCTGAACAGACCCCTCTGCCAGCCTCTCCTCAGATGTCACGTTCTCCAGCCCCTCCAGCACCTTGGCAGCCCTACACCAGACTTGCTCCAGGATGTCAGCATCCTTTTTCCTAATAGGAAGCCCCAGTGTGGACACAGCAGTCCAGATGTGGTTCTACCAGTGTCCAAAAGGAGGAGAAGGATCATTTCCCTGGACCTACCTACACTCATGCTACCACCATCCAGGATGCTGCTGGCCTTCACTGCAAGAAAGTGCTGCAAAATCCTGGGGAACCCATGGCCCACCAGAACCCTCAGGTCCTCCCCTGCAAAGCTGCTCTCTCCAGCTCTCCCCCAGCCTATACTGGTGCATGAGGTGCACACAGAGGAAATTTTAAGTGTCTTTATTGAATTCCATGAGGTTCCAGACAACCCATTTCCCCAGCTGAGAGTCTCCTCTCTCCACAGCAGCCCCACCCTTGGGAGCACTGGCTGTTGCCCCTAACACGCCACCAGCTCACACCCCCTGTGTTTGCACTCTGTCCCATCACCCAGACCTTCAATAAAGAAATCAAGCAGTACTGGAGTCACTGTCAGCCACTGAAGGCTGGCAACTAACTCTGTTCTGTGGCTTACAATCCTTGCAGCCAATGGTCCACCTCACCCACCTTTATCTGAACAGTTTGGCTGTACAGGTACTACAGGAGGCCATGCCAAAAGCATTGCTACAGTCCCTACACAACATCCTGTCCCTCCTTGTCACAGAGCCAGCTGTCACACAAGGCAAGCAGGCTGACTTTGAAATGCTAAGGGCCAGAGCAATGCACCTTGCCACCAGCTCCTTCCTTAACACTGAGGGACCAACACAGCAAAAGGAACATGCAAAATAACCAGAGACAGGAGTAAAAACATCCCTAAATGAAAACTGCTACATACTCAGAGGGACCATTTAAATATAAATCTTATTAGACTTGCTTCCAAAATCTGAAAAAAACTAAAACTGTTAGAGATCTTTACTGTCTCTAGGTAGGAAATCAGGAATTTCTGCACATCTGGCTTTTACAGTCCACCTCTTATTGAAGTAGGTTAAATGTGGCACAGGAAGAAAAAGGCTGTTCCTGTGAGGAAAGCAGTCTGTGGCATGCCCTGAGGGACAAGATGTGTCCCCCTGAGAGCATCACAGAACACATCCAGGCTAGGCTTAGTTAGGTGAAGGACATATTAAGGAGCAATGATGAAACAGACATTTAAACAACTACAGTACACTGAGACCAGCACTCAGTACATTCTTGAGCAAGAAAAATAGGCCTAACCAAAATCAAAATTAAAGAACTGACAAAATATCCAGATAAAACAAAACTTGCAGGCACAGATGAAGGTTTGACGTCAACTCCTGAAATCAAGTCAATGAATTCATGTGTGATTTTTGTTTGTTTGTTTTCAGAAACCTGGGAATCTGTACTGATCTGAGATGAAAAGAAAATAAACCTCTCACAAATTCATTGAGCACACTATACTTCCCAAAACCATTCTCCCCATCTGCCAACAGATACAGGTTTCTCTATTCACTTAAGCAAAAGGCTACGAAGTGCAGTTTCTACCTTATGCAGTATTTTTCAATTTGAAAACTTTAATGTTCTACATAAAATCTAGATAAAGCATTATTAGTACATAAAGCAAAGCAAGAAAGTTTTGTTTTGAGATTGTGAGATCAAAAGCCATAAAAACTTGAGGGAAGACAGGTACTCACGCTGGTAGTTGCACATAAAGCAGGCCTGGGCTGCAATCATCCACTCAGCTCTGGTCTCACAGAAGATGGCAATGTTAGTCTTTGGCTGCTGACCCAAGACTGCTAAGCCATTTCCAAAATTAACAGCTTTAATGTATACATCTTCGTAAGAAAGCCAGGTGTACTTGCCAAGGATGACCTAATAAGAATAATAAAATCAATTAAGAAAATTAAAATCCTTAACACATGTCCTACTACGTCTTCAACCATGTGAAGAATCCACAGATGTTTGAGTGAAATGTGCTTGAATTATAACAGCAGTTCACTCAAGATAAAGATGATACTTTTTCTTGCCAAAAGCTACAGGGCCTGTGGAAGTTCCAACATAAATCACCATATCACAATGCAAAATCTCCTTGCATGTTACCACCTCAATTTCTATTTTCACAGAAGGGAAAGCACATGAAGTCCTCTGAAAGACTGTGTTTGGTTATCTGGCTCACACACCTCTGCTTTTTTAAAGGGTTTGGTTTATGTAAAGGATGAAAAGCACTAGTTAGCATAGTACATTCTCTATATTTACTTTCTTGGATATTTAGGCTACAATTATACACAAATATGACATTCAGATGTTCACTAAAATAACTGGAAACCAGAAAGCAGTATGTCCATGGGCCCTCAGTCAGAAATTGTGAAATCCCTTTCCCTTTGTTCTGAAACAAACGTCAAGGGGATGAGTAGCAATAATTTTGCCTTTTTTTACTGTTAAACAAAAGCGGGACAGAAGACAGGATAGGAAATTACTGAGAAGCCTCAGTTCTGAGAAGTCATGTAGAATATATTACACAATCTCACTTTTCCATATGGGAAAGCTGGTGCACAGTAAAACTGGATTTGAATTTACAGGTCACTACCCAAATTTCTGTATGCACTTGCACCTTGCAGTACCATTTCCTTACTGAGTGACAGGCTATTTCTTTGAGACCAGACTACACATTTCCATATGTAGATATAGTATGAAGATGTTTTATACTGAAAACCTATACTCTAAAATATTATATCCTACCCATCTGCTTATATAAGCACACTTACAATTTTGAAAAACAATTTTTAATCAACTATTTCAGACATGTTCTTTACAAAGCATTAGTAATAAATGCAAACAAACACAAAAAAAAACCCTAGAAAAACCTGAACTAGAAAATCTCCTTCATTCTTTTTTCCATATTCCATTCATCAATGTGAATTAGATTTCAGACTTTGGTCTGTCAAATCTAACAACTTTTTGACATGTAACTACATTTCTAGTGAGTCTGTATTTCCACATCCACTTATTTAATAAAACGTATTTCAAAATCTCTCTCAAACTCAAAAATAGAAAAATAAAATCTAGTAGATTACTTTTGTCAAGATAATTTTCCAAACTGTTTAAGTTACAATTAGTTGTAACAATGAGTTGTACCTACTACAGCTTCACTGCATATTGCTCATTAACCTACTTGTTTAGCAGGACAAACAGGTACACATGCAGCTGCTTGAAAAATTTCACTAATGTCTTCATGGGAAAATATCATTTATCAAGTCCAAAAAACATTTGTCAACAACAGCAATATATAGCAATTCCACCAGAAAATACAGATCTCTCACACAATATCTGCTCAGGTTTTCCTGGTTTATTTCCAGAAGCTCTGTTTCAGTGGCAAACAGGCTGCTTCCAATGCCAAACCCTTTCTGGAGCAGAAAGCTCAGGTTGAAATGGCAGCACGTGGGGCAGGGCTGGTGCTCACTGCCACAGCCCCCTGAGGAAGAGGAGGGACCTGGGAGTCCCTTTTTGTTTCAACACACCAAGATATTTCTGGTGTGGAAAACTCTCACTGCTTCCAAAACAAATATTGTACCTCTTCCTGTCCATCCAAATTTCAGTCATTTGGAATTTAAATTCCAGCTTGGGATATGTTTTTCCCCAAAGGCAGTATTTTTGGCAGATGTGGAAGTTCTTGACAAGCTGATCAGTTGAAAACAATTTATAGCAGTGCCTTGGGTGACACCCTTTCCCCATTATACTCTGCCTACAGTGTAGCCTCAGGAAAACTGCTCACAAATAATTAGGCCAAGAAATACAAGCAGATTCTTGTTACTGTTTCTGGTAAGCTTGCCAATTCTTAACAGGTTTTAGTAATTTCCACCATTCTGTAACTGAACTGGGGAAAATAAATCATTAAATGGCAAAAAAATAAATCTCTCCAAGCAATACTTGTGATTCTGCTTTTTTTCCCTTTTTTGTTCTCTTAAGTAATTCATTCTCATTGCTCAAGCAAGTTTGATATGTATTGAAAGCTCACCTCATTGGTGCTTTCTTTTCTTAAAAAGGAAAAGCCCTTTTTAAGGATGTAAAGCACTGTTGGCTGTACCTATTTATGTAAAAATACATTTCTGAAGAACACTCATGTGAGAAAAGGTAACATATTTTTCAATGCAGCAATTTTGAGTTTTACTTTCCTACTGCCTTCCAATTGAAATTCCAGTGTTCCTTCCCCACAGCCAGTGTTGCTTCTCTATTCAATCCCTATGACATTTATATTATATACACATTAGTGAATGACAGATATTAATATATATATACTAAACTGCCTCTGTAAGTCCCTTTCTCCTGCACCTCTCTATCAGCTTCCTCTGCAGGACACTCCTTATGCTGGAGCATGTCTCCAAATCCATCTCCCTTCCTGGCCTTGCCCTCAGCAGCTATTGCTAACATTTTCCAATGAACAGTGCAAGAAAGACAAGGAGCTACTGGACAGAGTCCAGTGGGTGCCACAAAGAAGATGAGGGGTCTGGAGCATCTCTCTTGCCTGGAGAAGAGAAGGCTGAGGAGATCTCATTAATGCATACAAATATCAAAGGGTTGTCAAGGGGATGGTGCCAGGCTCTTTCCAAGGGTTCCCAGTGATGGGACAAGGAGCAATGACCATGAACTAAAACATAACAAGTTCCATTTCAACAGGAGGAAGAATTTCTTTACACTGAGGGTGGCAGAGCACTGGAAGAGCTGCCCAGGGAAGGTGTGGAGTCTCCTCCTCTGGAGACATTCCAAACACACCTGGACACATTCCTGTGCCACCTGCTCTGGGTGACCCTGCCTGGGCAGGGGCTGGGACTGGATGATCTCCAGAGACCCCTTCCAACCCAAACAATTCTGTGATTCAGCTTCTGCTGCAAGCAGGTGATAAGACTGGCATTAGGTGCCATAATCCTTTAAACATTCACACACATTTAACTTAACAACTTTCAGAGGTTACTTCTGCTTGATAACTAATGGAAAGAAAATAACTTTACCAACTGTCCAAGAGTTGGTAAAAGGGCTCGAGAAGTGAATTTCAGCAGAGACTTTATAAGGAGTCCCACAAAGGCAGCCAGCAGGGACTGCAGCTCTGAGGTTTCACCTGGAAACACGGCATTCCATGGAAAACGCTGCCCTCTCCTGCTCCAGCTTCAAACTGCAGCCTGAGTCACACTGGCACAAAATGACTTGGAAGCATCCAGACTCAACTAATATTTGGAAATCCAGAAAAGCAGAGACTAAACACACTGCTAACATTTCTTTTACATGAATTTTAGAAACATATTAAAATTTTTAGTGCAAAGGTGCAAAAAATGGTCTTGATAAAGCTGCAGGCTCATGTAGAGTCATTAAATTACCTGATCTCAGTTACCTTTGAAGGTCGTCCTGTAAGTGCCTTATAAGGTTTAAAGAACCCTGACTATGATTTAGAAACCGGTGATCATAAATTAAATATATTTTCTTGTAAAAGTACATTGAAAATAATACAAAGGAAGTTATTTGAAACATCCACTTCTGGTCTTTTTCACATGAACACGTGGATTGCAGCTGAATGTATCTGATCCCCCACCCCAACATACAATTTACATAGCAATCTATGGTTTTCAACATCATAAGTGACTCTAGTACTGCTCAGTGACTTGGCATGGCAAGAACCTTTCTGGACCTTCACTTTAAGTTTCAGTATTGTCAATAATAAGCAAAGTTCTGAATTCCCAAGTGCTTGCCTATGTTGTTTGCTGTTGCACCCAAGTCTCTCAGGTTTTAGATGCATCACCTTCCCCAGCAATGCTGCTTTCTTCTCCCCACTATGTCTTATTTATTATGCTCCCAGTAATTCTGTTCCTGGTCACCAACCCTTTTTAAAGCTGAGCAAGCTCTCAAAACAAACACACATCTCCCTCAAAAAATAAACCAATGAAGGAAGACACACACAAAGCCAAATCCACATACCAACACAGACCAAAGCAAGCACCTGATGATATAAGTAAGACAACACAAAATAATGAAGCTTATCTTTTGGGCATCATAAAACTTCAGTTCCGGTTAAATTGAGTCCCTTTTCCAATTAATTATATCTTAATCTCAGAGGTACTTTCAACATTATTTTATCTTGACTTAAATACATGGCTTATGAAATTAATATTAGGTATGCATGATTTTGGAGAAGGAAATTGGAGAAGTACACTAGAGAAGGAAATAGAAGAACTAACCACATATGAATTACTATGAAATGCAACTACTGCATAAGCAAGTATTTGTATTTCATTCACACCCATGAATATCAGCTACTTTGGAATCTGCAAAGAAACAAATATTTTTGTAACAATACACTATCATAAAAATTTAAGAAATTACAGATTATCTGAGACATCACTGCTCTCACAATAAATTAATGGATTATCTGATCTTAAAGATGTTCAGAAGCTCTAATTAATTTTGGCTACAAGTGCAAGGACACTCAGTTTTCCCCATAATCAAAATTTGAATATTTTACTTTTTTTTCATATATATAAAAATATATTGCAGATCCTGCAAAATATAGAAATTACATGCATTATCCCTAAGAATTAAACTTGTTGTGCACCTTTCTGAAGAACTGCACCAAACCTCAGCAAGCTGGTTTTGCTAAAGGGAACCAGGCAATAAAAAGGTGCCTGGAATTAAAGACAGAAATCAAAGAGAACCCTGACATTTAGAATTAACAAGATATCTTATGAAATGTTCTGATTTTCCTCACTTGCTAACACATGCTATGCAGTCCTAAGAAACATTGTATTCCCTAATGGAAAAAAAACCAATTTAAAGTGGACTTGTGCGATAATGCCACAACTTGGAACAAAGTAACACAGGAGCAAGTACAGCAGTCGACTACAATGAACCCTTGTGTCAAGCTTAGACAAAATTACCTAACTTGGGTCATTTCTAAGTCTAAATACTCACAAACAAGTCATTGAAGTGGATCAACACAAACATTCCTCAGCTTTCCAATACTCACAACGCTTTGCTTACATAATGGAAAAGGCTAAAACTCCTAAGTTCTTGAGTCTTGCATCCACAATTATGATTAAAAAACAGGGCACACGTCACAGGCAGCCAAAATTCTCATCTGTGCTCAGAAGCCACTCTCGGTACAACATGAACTTTGTTTCTTTATAGGGTAATGAGGTAGCAAAATGTGCATCAAGCAAGAGCACACGTAACCATTCACCCCAGCATTTCCATCACACTACAAAACTAACTCCACAGCTAGGGGGGAATTTCACTAACAATAAAGTTTGTATAAAGATTTAGACAGAACTAAATTTTGTTATATACTGGGATTTTAACCAAATTCAATTTTAAGCATACTCCTCTATCAGAATTAAAACTAGCAGCACAAAGAGACATTTTTTTCATCAGCATGGAAACAAATCTTAACCAAAAATTACCTGCTGTGGATTTAACAACTTCTAATAGAGAAATGCAGACCTTTAACACCAGAGATGCACAAATATGCATATTCTGTTGCAGTTTTCTGCCTTGCTGCTTCAGGCAAAAGTGCATTTTTCAATATGTCTGAACAAATACAAAGCAGCAAATGACAGTAGAGGCTTGAACACTGTATAAAGTCAGTCCCTTGAAACAACAGAGCTGTTGTCAGGTACTGAAATTACATCTCACACACACACCAGGATTACAGATTAGCAGAGTAGTTCACCTTAAAGGAGACTCAAAGAAAAAAAATCTCTTCCAATATGTCTGTGCAATCCTTTTACAAACAAAGATTCATTTAAGCCCTGAATTCCCAGGACAGAACAGCAAATCTTTAAATATCAACTAAGTCTGCTGGAAAGGCACATCTGAGTACTGGCATCTAGGAATTTTTATATATTTATCTGATTGCAGTTCAAAATAACACAAATGGAGACATTTTAAAATTCACTTAAAGAAACCTTTAAAGCCAGTTACATCACCAGATGAATATTCAAAACAAATACCTAAAACATACTTGTGTTTTTTCTTTGACTGAAACCATAAACAGGATATCTATTCAAGACTGCAAAAGGTTGAGATTTGGTTTAAATGCCAAGTATTGAAAGATTGGGAATTAGATAATTTAATTCTTTTCACAGCTACAGAATCTAAGCAGAGAAATTTATTGTTTCCCCAGCTTTGCTCTACTGGACTAGAAGTGCTGTATAAGAAAGTAAACATACTTTGGAAAAAAATTCTTAAAGGCAGAAAATACTTACCTTTTTAAAAACTTTTCCTGATGGCTGGATTTCATCTTCCTCTTTCAGAATTTCACGTGTTCCCAAGAGTTTTTTGTCCTTATATTTAGTTTTAGCGTATTTAAAAACTTTGTCGAGTGTATCACACCCAGGATATAAAACTGAAGCTAAGCAATGCAGACTGTTAACAGATCTGTATGCACCCCCAGGCTTGTTATTCACAGGTCTGGCTTTAACCTGCTTGGCTTTTGCTATAGCCTGCTTTGATCCTGAAAGTATGTACCATGGAATGTACGTTACAAGGGAGTACAACAGCACTATGAAGTTTATCAACTGTAGAAGAACAGGGTTGATGTTATGCTTCAACTTCATTTTGGCTGCTTGAGAATGTCACGAGAGAGAATTTGGTAACATTGATCAGCTAGACAGGGATCCAAAAAGATCTGAAAAGAGAAAAGAAAAGGTTAGTAGTAAACTATCACTGCTGGCAGGGGAGTATTTTTAAACATGATATTACAATCCATATCCCAGTAGGTTTCTTTATGCGGGAGTTAGAATCTGAATCCCATACACAAATGAAAACAGACACTGATACTCAAGGTGGAACTGTTCCACCCCCCTTCAGCAGACTGCAGTACAACCACATGTGCATCACAGATATTTATCTGAAAAGGTTTTGTGATTATACAATTCAAAATCATCAGAGCACCTCCGTGTGCACCTCCACTAGAATCTCTCTGACCTCAAACTGTGAATCATCAGCCTCCAAACAAGCCCTAGGAACGCAGGCAATGTCACCACCCTGCACATGGGAAGGAACCTTGAGCATTAGGGATGTTAAAATGTTTCCCAAGCATTGGACACTCTACCTAAGGAGGCACCCACCTAAGAGAAGGAAAGCTGTGTATGTGACAGAACCTTAGCTGGTTTATCCCTAGGGATTTCCCATGGTTTCAGTCTCAGAACCAGCATTCAATGTTACACTTGTAACTTTTTCCAGAGTACCTAATGATGCCAGGATATTCACTTGGTCTGTTTTAAAAGCATGATTTACCATATGCAATGACCACAAGCTTTGTATGTAATAAAATACAGATGCACTTCACTCAGTTAACCTTTCAAATGTATTGATACAACTTATTAAAAGCAGTATCATAAATCAAACTAATAATGATGTATTTAAGATGCACAGCTTTTGACAATTCTAAATTAAGTAATTTTTCATTCATAAGATATATTATTCTGTGCTGATGTCTTATACTCTTTGACTTTTCCTTCATTAGCTCTCTGAAAACCCTTCATTAGCTCTCTGAAAACCCTAATGAAAAGAAATTAGAGTTGAAAAAAATTATGATTAAATCATATACAATTCCTCAGTAGTAATGGAAAGAAACCTTGCTTCATTAATCCTGGATCTGCAGTCCTTTTGGGAACAGATCAATCCAGCATCCTTCCTTAGTAGGATGAGATTAATTCCATCTTTCCCTGAAACATAAAACTTCCTAAAATTCCAAGCAAAAATATTCCATGATCATTTTTCCCTAACATGCTGCTGTAATCTCACTGTTAACACTGCATCATTACAGGCAGTTTGAAGGAACCAAACAACATCAAAGTCTCTTCTGCAGAGCAGCCTGAGACACAAACAAATAAACCACAGGAGCTCTTCACAGTAGGGACTCACTGCAACAAGCAGCAGTGGGGGAAAGAGATTTAAAATAGATTTAAAAAAAATTAACTAGAAGTGCATATATTTTAATTTTCAGATGAAAGACAAAAAGCAATGACAAAAAACAAACTTAAATAGGCTAAAGGTCAAATTCAGTAATCGCTCGAAGAGACTTATGTTCTTAGGCTGTCACTGAAGGATACTTAATGAAAATAATCATGAGCTGGCCAATCAGCTACTGCAGGCCAGAAAAATTATACTGTTGTTGATAGCAGCACAGAACAAGATGTTCTAAAGCTGAACCCAGAGTTCACACAACAAGAGTTTACCCATTTTTTAAAAAGTACTATGTTGTACTATTATTTTGCCTGGCCCAGTTCAGGAGGTGAACATCTTTTTTCTCCTTATAAAGCTGGAGACCTTCTCTCTGCCTAAAAAGTAGAAGCAGAGTTTAACCTAACACTGCTAGATATGACAATTAAAGCAACTCATTTAATACCTTTAGGCAAATTGATCTCCAAAGAAATTCCCTGTGTGACAAACAGTCAAGGCTATTCAAATAATATTCTCTCTAGGTTTCATAACTTTCCTTGATTAGAGAGGCACTGAGCCCTTCCAGAACAGCAGTCTCCCATTTTATTTTGCAGTTAGTTATCCCAACAGCTTTATCCTCTCCTCAGAAGGAGAGAGGAACCTTTTCCACTATGTCTATAACCATGCCACTGTGTAATGTCAAGCTCTCTCTTCTGGCTCACCCTTGCATAACAACCCCCAAACCTGGAAATCTTTGCTTTGAATTGCAAACATAAATTGTGCTTTTTCCACTATTTCATAAAAGGCTGCATTGCAAGAAAAGGTCTAAGGAACACTCCAACTGGAAAAACTAAAGGGAAACATCTGGACTGTACCCCTGGCTCAGAAAAGCAAGCATCCTGCTCTAGAACTCTGCGCTGATGTACATCTCTTACCCTAAATAAATTGCTAATTATTTCAGTTACTCCTTCACAAAAGTGAGGCTATCACAAGTCATCTGTTGGAAAGAGTTTATTTTAAAAATTAAGACAATTTTTATTCACTCAAAATGTAATGTTTTTGTGATAAAAAATTGTTTTTTGCAAATGAAGTTTCTTGTCTTACAGGCCAAGTAAGACTCCATTTTTTCCCTTCAAAATCTTATAATCACAAGATAGCAAACTTTAGCAAGAGAGAGCAAGCTCCAGTGCCAATGTCTTAAGAAATAGATTTGAGACTGTGATATTTACAGAGCATCTATGCTTGTAACTAATTGCAATTACCATTGTAAGTGTCCACTGGAAAAGTGCAATGCCTTTTGGAACAAGAAAGAAAAATATTTGAGTAGTTTCATTAGAAGAATAAGCTCCAGTATCTTTGTAGGGTGATGGTTCTAAGGAGAGCTGAGCCATGACACAAAGGAATTTGGCTATATAAAGGCTCCCCCTCTTTCCTTGTGTGACTGAAGAACAGAACTTGCATTTTAACTCATCATTTTGTTTCTTTGTTTGCTATGTTGCTGAAGAGGAAAATATCAGGTAAGCAAAGGAGATGCAGTTTAAAATGCCTTTGTGCCCAACAGATTTATCACTGCCATTCCCAGGGGAACATCAAAGTCAGCTAAATGGATCACTAAACATGCAATAAAAAAATCATTTTGATGACAATGTAGAAGCAAAAGCAGTACCCTGCCTTGAGGCTAGAGTGCTAGCTGTAAGGCAATTAAGTTTTACAGCAAGCAAAACCAATGCAGCTGAACATCACAACACATTTTCTATTGGGTTTTTTTCCTATACAAAAACCCCCATTAAGATAACCACTTTTAATGACAAAGTAAAAGAATAAGATTGTTTTCATTAAGATATAATGCTTGCTCATGCATTCTTCTCTGTAACAATTACTATTTCAAACCTTTAATGTATGCTATTTTATAAACTCAAAATGAAAATACATTATTAAAAATCAAGCTGCAGAACTAATCTAAAAATCAGAAATTTTAGTGAAATTTTCAAGGTTATATCAGATCTGGAAGGCCTAAAAGGGAAGCAGTGTTTGCTGTTTAATATTCTGCCTTTAAAAAAAACCAAAATTTTCAATGGTTTAGTGAAATACTATGAAGGTTTTTAAAATTTCATTGAAGTACAGTATGTTGTCACCTTATTAATTTTGGAAGTATACAACTGCTTCTGACCATAAAAAGAATGTAAGCAAACCCATCATTTTGGAGCAGGGAACAGAAAGCAGAGGACATGATCCTAAGCAGTTTTTGCAAGTATAAGACTATGGCACAGTGAGAAAGTTCACTGCATTTTCAACATTGTTCTTAGTTAGCTCCTGCTTAATCACTGACAAATAAAAACACATGACATGTGGTAATATCCTAACCTAGTGGTTTGGTCTGCAGATTAGCTGCAAACACAGGTTCTTACAGAACATGCAACCATCCTGGTTTCACAAAAACCTGCTGGGGTTTTTGAGGAATCAGTGTTCAAACTTTGACCAGTGATGCAGGAAAGGTTGGGAGGTGAAATCCTGGATGAAAGAGCTGCTAATTTAGACAAGAATACAACTTACAGAAAATCTGCCCAAGCAAAGAGTTCTGGACATGCATGAGAGCTGTTCAGTTACATGTAATTCACATTAACTCTGGTAGTCACCAAATGGAGAAAAAGCAAGACCACAAATTAAGTTTGACACACTTTTTCAACAGCAAAAAAGAAGCAGCAACCAGCACACTCATTCATCAGTCTGGAGAAATAAACCAGTACTTTTCAGGACTGATCCTTCTTAATACATAATCAGTGATTTGGCCTGATATATTATACTAATACTGTTATACCCTTTAGTTTTAGAAGAAAACTTCTGTTAGATGAGAAAGAAAAAAATCCTCAAAGGAATGTGTTTACTAATTGACCTGCTTATAACAATTACATTACAATAAAAGCATGAATTAACAAGAAAAAAGGAACCTTATGCAACTTCTCATCGTGGCAGGTACAGGTACAAGAGCTGATACAAGATGTTCCAGTCTCAGTTTATTCAACAGGAGCTGTCACAGGCAACTGCATGAAATCTAAAAATGGAAAATTCCCATTAAATATGACAATTATAAAACACACCCTCCATTTTTTCACTCGTATTTTGTAATAAATAAAACCTTTTTCTCATCTGATACTGCACTGTATCACCTCAGAGAGCCCAGGCCCACTGCATGCAAGTGATCACGAAGCCAGATGTAACACACAGCACAGTCACCTCTCAGACTTGAGCCCTGTACAATCAAGGTGGCTGCAACAGCTTCAGGCAAACCCAGCAGCTCATGGTACTCGTCTCCCTGACAAATTCCAACTCCTCAGTGGCTTTCAGTGTACAGTTCTACCATTTGGTAAGCTTCTAGCATTTGAGGTAGAAAAAAATACACCCATCTTTGTGTATATACCCACACAAAGAATGCATTTCAGCCTGAGTAATAAAATATTCTTGAACACTTTGCAAAAAGACTTAATAAAATAGTAATAATTGTATTTATTGATTCTGTGCACTACACACTGAAGTTTCATTTATTGTCCTTTGCAGAAAGAATTCTTGAAAACCTGTGCCAGCAAATCACATGTAAAATATACAAATGTAAACATTTTGTACCTACTACCTTTCTGCAAACATTACTATTTACACAGCTATTCAGTTCTTAAAGATAATCTTTTCCAGTTTCAGTGGATTAACTATTTACTGCTTGAGGTGAGCATCCAGGGTGCTCACTGCCCCATTTTTTGACTTCCATGACTTCACACACACTAACCAAACTCCAACCCAGAGACTCCAAGATACTCTTGCAAAAAAACATTTTGGTCAACGATTTATAGTTGTGAAATCTATTACTGAATCTTGCAAACCCCCCCATGATTTATTAACATTCACTGAAAGGATAAAAAGGTTATTCACTCAATTAGGCTTTAAAGGACAAAATAACCAGGTATCTTCATGAACTGCCCAGTCTCATTATAGAATATAACAACAGGAGTTCTCAAGACAATATAACAAAGCCCATAATATAGACTTCTAACTGTACCAAACCCAGCCTCTATTAGTTTACATCTGGACTTAAAAAGTAACATTAACAGCCATGAAGAGGTAGGTTTTTACTACATCTGGAATTCATTCAAGAGTTGTCAGCATTTGCTAGCACTCAGCAAGTGAGCCTTTCTTTTACAAAGAGAGGAGACCAAAAAGAAAGAAATCCCTGTTACTGATTTATAAATACTCATGTAGTCATCTATTTAAAAATAAAAAAATCAAACCAAATGCACACAGATGCAACAGCCTATGCTTCACAAGCAAACTCCCTGGACCGTGAAGCAAGGAGGGCCTGAGGTGATGAACGGTGCAGAGGAGAATCTCAAACATGTACCTATCTAAGTGGAAGGTCTCTTGCAATATGGATTGAAGGGACTATTTGAAAACAGATGTTCTTCACAGATGAAGTACAAGTTTTCACATATTTCTTGAAACAGAGATGATAGAAACCCCAGCAAGCCCCACTGAATGCTGGAAATGGATGCTTTGTGTTTGTGGAGAAGAGCTGGTGCTCAGCACATCCTCCACAGCAGAGTGGACACAAGGACTCGCCTCTCCTCCCCAGCTCACCCTTCACTGCTCCCCACAAGCCTCTCTTCCCACCACCTCCTGCATTCCCTGAGCACTGCTGCCCTGGCAGGGCCCCCTCTCACAGGCCCTGTGGTTTCCACACAAGTGCACACACTGTCCTTGTCCCCTGCTCGCCAATTTTCCACCCTCCGACCCCTCCTCACCCTTTTCCAGGCTGCTGCCTGGGTCCCAGCATCACCTCTAGCACAAGGGAGACCTTCCACGAGCCTCTCAAACATCCACAGAACCCTTCTCCAGGAAGACTCTTACACGAGGCAGGCACAAGAGTGCCTCTGCAGTCATGCTGGGAACAGGTCCATGGCTCTGTCCCAAAGGACATCTGCTTTCAACAGAGAGGAGAAGTGATGCTCAGCACACCGACCCCAGGAACCATCACCTATTGGGAACAAACCCAGTGGGACCTTCCCCAACAGCTCCACATGGCAGGGCTTGGCACAGGCATTGAACTAACTCTGATACAGCAAGATCCAGAAGAGGATTGCATGGCTGTAACACAGGCACACACTCAGCCAGAGGTTCTTCTGAAACTCTTTCAAGCAAGCACACAAGAATGAAACTAATTCCCACATCAACTCCAGTCCTTGATGTCTCACTCCCAGTCCTGAACCAGAGATAACCGGTCTCTCCCAGGATTTTACCCCTCCTGCTGATCCACATTCTGTGAACTGCTGAGGTCTTACACAGAAAGAGGGATGGTAGGAGACCAGAATTGCTATTGATTATGTCTCTGCTCTCAAAAGGAGGCAGAGCTTCAGGGCACAGAGAATAACCTCTCTCTGAAAGGACACTGGGGTAATTCTGAGCTACCTTATTCAGATCATCTGTAGCCTCCAGCTGTGGCCCACCTCTAGCACAGCCCTGGGTGAATCCTAAGGCTCTTTAAACGCTTCCCCTTGCTCTGCCAGGGAACACAACGCTGGCAGATGGCCAGAGCCAACGCAGCACTCCCGCTCCTGCCTTCACAACTCAACCCACTCAACGCTTCAGCAGAAGCAAATCTACAACTCAGCTCCAGTCCCGAGGGAAACTCGGGCACTTCTGTGCATGAGCGTGTTTCTGAAAAGCACAGGAGGGCACACACACCGCCAGGGAAGAGGCATCATGACCTGGAACAAACCAGTTTCCGAGGTAGGAGTTTACCAGACCGCTGGGGCAGCAGAGGTTGCTCATGAACTGCACAGCCTGAGGGAGTGATTTCAGTTCGGCTCAAGCAGATTTAACACAGGACTGCTAATAAAAACAGACATCTCCAAAAGGTAATTCCACTCTTGTCCTCCATTGTACCAACACATGAGTTCCTGTGTGGCCAGGAATGAGTCAGATTAGCTTGTTGATCCAGTTTAAACCCTCACCTTCTCAGGGCAGAACGGTGGATTTTCCTTTGTATCAACTTTGGTACTCATTTGGGCCTACCATGCCTCACTGCAACACCTAAATCAACAGAAAATTAGCACTACAAAAGATGTTATTCTTCTGCTATGCCAAAGTGAGTAACCATGAATTGACAGGAGTTACTGACAAGGCAAGACCTGAGGAGGAAAGGGAAGGAGCCTGGCAGTGGAGCTGCAAACGAAACCCCATCGGGCCGCGGGAGAACTGGGCTCAGCTCAGTGCCAGCCTTGTGACTCAGGTGTCACAGCACACTGCAGGATCAGGGCAGAGCTGGGACTGCGGATTAACCTGCTGCTCTCCTACTAATGATCTCACTACTTACTTTTTTAGGAGCTCAGCCTTGGGGGTTTCAAGTGCTACAAGCTTAAATACCTTTAAACTTCATGTATAGGTTAATACACATCCTATAAATACAAAGGGGTTTAATTTATGTCCTTCACGTGTCAATGCTATGTTTAAAAAATGATACTCCTATTTCCTTAGGAGGCAGCCAGAAGGCATTTTATTAGGATAAATTATTATGTCCTTGTTAAATACCAAGATACTACAAAGGTAGGAATTACATGAACCAAAGAAGTCCTTTTACCCTAGAGAGACACTCTCTACCGTATTAACTAAACATTGATACAAAGGAAAAAGCGTTATCTAGAAAAGATTCCTTTTCTTCTTAGTAGGTTCATTTACATCAAGTGGGAAAAAAATCACACCTAGTGTTGGCAGACGACAGGGAGACAAATGCGGTAGCACAGAGCTAAACTAGATAGAAGGAACTGACATTTTTTGAGGGCACAGAACTGTGCTTTCTCTAAAATAGATCCTTAGTATATCCAGTTATTCTAAAAATGTAATGGTAAGTGGGTATTACAAACTTCTATTTGACATAAACCTCTTTTAGGTGCACCCAAGCTGCAGTGAAATATCACTGCACACTGCAGGACAGCGAGGGCTCAGGTCTGTACACCTCTCCTCTGCTTCCTAACAAAACAGAGTGACACTTAGGAGAAGCTGAAAGCTAAAGTGACATCACAAAGCAGACAAACTGATTTATTTCCCCCACAAAGAAGCTACACAACTCCAATGAACAGTCTGGGTGCACAGGCTACAAACTTAAGTTTAAACCTTTTTGATCCAGGGGAAAAATAAAACTAAATCAAAGTGAGTTCAACACTAATGAGCTCTAGGAACAATAAAACACTCCTAAAGCTACCTTCACCCACAACACGAGCACCCTTCCAATAAAATCATCTAAAAACGCAAACCTCATTGCAACTCTGCATCTTAGATTTTTTCTATTTAAAACATTTTAAAAATTATTTTCCTTAAGTAAGGGTTTTAGGTTTTTGGGGTTTTTTTACTTATCCAAGACAGTTTGGATATTTAATGGATTGATTCATCTTCTCTTAATAAGAGCAATAAAATACAGCTCTAAGGTGACAACTTTGTCAGCAAACCTGAAAGCACTTCCCAAAAAGAAGGCAGTGAGCTAAAAACACTTATTTAAAATCATGTAACAAAGTAACAGCTATGCCAGAACATAATCCACTGCTGCTCCACCTTTCCTCTCCTTCCCCTCCCACTACATACATCACACTTCATGGCACACAAATGTCTTGTTTCAGGCACTTCACCAGATATCGTCAATACACTGCTTCCATTCCTTTTTCACAAGCAGTTATTAGAGCATTTAAGAAATGCACTTAATGCCAAACTAAGTTAAATGTTTTCAGGTTTGTGACAGAAAAAAGGAAACTAATGGGTAAAGTACCTTGCTACTGGAGAAGGCCTCAGAGGAACTTTGGTATCTGCCAATTCCCTGTTAGAGAGAGAGAGGAAACCACCAATTTCCCCAGCACACTGCTGGATTTTTAAACCACAGATACAAATTAAACATGGAAGAGTACTTAAACAAGAACATCAACACCACAGCACATACAGTATGAAAAAAATCTGCATAAAAATAAGCCGGAAGCTTCACCAGCAACCTTTGCCTCCTGAAGAAGTGGTGGAACAGC